GAGAGAGAGAGAGAGAGAGAGAGAGAGAGAGAGGGGGGGGGAGAGAGGCCGTGTTCCTCTGAACATCCTGAAAGGACCCCGTAGTCTTACGTAATAAAACATTTTATTTCCAAAAGCATACTCAATTCCTCATTTCTCTTTTAATAAACCCGACAATTTGGAGAAATGTTCTGTTATATTTGGGGCTCTAAAACCATCTAGCTACCCTACCTTAATGGTTCAAGTAGATTTTATCTCTAATGTTGATTTAATTTTCCCTAATTTAATAGTATGTTTCATTTATTCATTTGTAAAATGTCATACATAAAATTAACCATGGAAATGGGGACCAAGAAATGTGCAGTCGCGTATGTCTGTTTCTTCATTGTGAAGGGGAAAACGCCTAAAATGCAGTTAACTTCATTCTAAAGTTCGGAACAATTACTCCGTCACGACCATGCAAACTGAACGGTAATGCATTGCGAATACGAAATTCGTTGTTGTTGTTGTTGTTGTTGTTGTTGTTGTTGTTGTTGTTGTTGTTGTTGTTGTTTTGTTGTGGGGTGGGTGGTGGTGGTGGTTGGCGGCGGCGGCTGGGCAGTGTGGTGGTGGGTGGCGGCGGGCGTGCGCGGTGGTGTGTGGGTGTGGTGGGTGGTGGTGGTGGTGGTGTGGTTGGTGTGTGGTGGTGGTGGCGGTGCCGGTGGCGGTGGTGTTTTTTCTCTTCATTTGAAGGGAATACTTTCATTTCAAAAATTAAACTGCATTTTTTCGTTAAATTGAAAGAAAAATAATTACGCTAATAAATATTTTTCACTGTATTGTCAACTGCATTAAAAGTTACTGGATCTAGAACGAGAAAACGACTCCTGTTTCCATGGAAACAAGTACTGCATCATACAGATTATAATGGGGGATTGCGCAGTCTGCAGAGGTGTATTCAAGACCTGTCGTCAGGAAACGAAACACGTGCAGCAAGAGGTTAGCGCTGAATACAATCACCTCTCGCGCGAGGGAATTTTTCTAGTCACAAAGGGGTCTTTCATTGCTTCTGTCAGAAGCAGAGAAGAATGACGAACTGTTTCCGATGAAAGGTACTTTCTGCTAAGGACGAAACAAACATTTTTGGGAGGGACAGGTATTGTGGTTCTTGGTCTTTCGTTTGTCTTATGTTATTCTCCACCTTACCTAGCCCATTTCCTTTCTTACATTTATAATTCTGAAAGTGCTCAAGAGGAGGAGAAGGACTAATGTTGAATCGACAATATTTTCTTAATTCATAAATAAATTATATGTTAATGAAAGTAGGTGAATGTTATTTAACGGCCGGAAATACCTGTCCATCTACCCTACATTAGTGATATGGTAAAAATGTATGGTAATGGTAAAATGAAATGGTAAACTTTGAAGCGAAAATAGCGAGGCATGCGTCTCTCTTCCCGGAATTTCTACCTGCTTCCACGTGGTACAACTCATTTAAGGCTACCCGTTTCCTAAAACAAATTTCCCTGACTTCTCCCCGTTTCCCATTTTTTTTGTCGTAATCTTTCAGAGATAAAATTTGTAGAGCATTTCACACTATTTAAAAAATAAATTAAAGCAAGCTTGAAACTAATTTTTAAGTTCCCTGATTTCGCCGTTATAAAGTAAATATAAAAAGATACTGAACAATTAGAAATTGAACAAAAAATAATGCTGCCCTATTTTGTTACTAATAATATCTAATTTTATAACGATCTCCAACTTTTCCCTGAATACTAACCATACTTTCGCAATTCTTTGATTTTCACCTGACTTTTCCACGGTAATGAAATTCCCTGATTTTCTTCAGTTTTCCCAGAGTAATGAAATTCCCCGATTTTCCAGAGTAACGAAATTCTTTGATTTTTTCCTGTTTCCCAGAGTAATGAAAATCCCTGATTTTACCAATTTTTTTTTCACAGTAATGAAATTCCCTGATTTTCCCCTTTTTCCAAAGTAATGGAATTCCCCGATATTTCCCATTTTTCCTAGAGTAATGAAATTCTCCAATTTCCTTCAGTACGTCTCCCCTGCCTGTACGTCCGTGTGCGGCTGCCGAGGCGTACCTGTGTAGCCGGGCACGCAAGCGCAGGTGTAGGCGTCGAGGCTCTGCAGCTCGCACGAGCCGCCGTTGAGGCACGGGTCCGAGTTGCACGAGTTGGGCACCGGGATCTCGCACAGCGACGCCGAGAAGCCGATGGGGCAGGTGCACGAGAAGGTGGGCGAGGCGGTGGGCGACGTCTTGACGGCGCACGAACCGCCGTTCTGGCAGCGCGGCGCCGGGCCCGTGTGGCACGGGTTCAGGTGCTGGCAGTACTCGCCCACGTACATCGTCGTGCAGCTGCAAACACACAACAACACACACCTATCAGCATCAGCATCACTACAGGTGCTACACATCTCGAACCAAAGTCAATGGCAATGGCGCAGCTCTTCACCTCTCAATATACATATATATACATATACATATATATACACACATAAACTTACACATAAAGTATCACTGCATTTGGCTAGTGGTGATAGCATGAAACGGAATATTCCATGTATGATGAAAAAATTCAATTCCATTCCATTATCGTGTTCATTTCACTCATCTAACTTCGACACTGACTTCACGGTTTTTACTATCAAAATGCGTCATTTGAAATGGACACGTGGATGATATTGATTATGAACAAAGGATCCTTGAGATCATGTTATCAATGTCAAATACGCCAATCAAAGCCATGGAGGATCGTATGGAATGGGATGTTTTATGTAAGAAATAAAAATACAATCGAATTGCAATATCCTGTTTATTTCACTAATTTATCTTGGATACTCACTTCGTGAGTTTTTTCATAAAATGCGTAGACAAGTTGCTGATATTGGTAAACAAAAAAGAAGCCTAATCCCTAAAACATTTATAAAATGTCAGTGACCAAAAGTACAAAGATATCAGAAGATAGAAAGGAGTATAGAGAAACGAGGTGAAGAAGAGGAATCGAGCCATCAACGTAGATCAAACAATCGAACGGATTTTTTTATTGCATCATCGCAGATTGTGACGATGATCTTACTACACCAAAGGCGCGAAAGCGATAAGCAAGACGACGGTTGCAACGCAAACCGCTAACGAACAAGGATGTTCCACAGGCGATTTCCCGACTAACGAAGTCCGTTTGTCTTCGCGCCGTGATTTAATTCCTCCCACTCGAGCAACGAAATAACGAGGCGGGCGGGCGGGCGGTGCTTGTCCCGCGGGCGAACCGACCGTCGCGACGTCAGCGACGTCGCGTGGGCGGGCAAGGTTAACGAGGGCCGACGTCCACCACCCACGTCCCTCCCTGCCCTCCTTGTCGACGACAAAAACGAGCAACAACATGCTTTAAAGAACGAGCGTCCTAGCGAAAAATAGTATTTCGTCGTTATCGTAATTTTGTTTATCCTAAAATAAAATTGATGACGAAGAGAAGAATATCACGAATTTTGAGAACGTGGATGAAAATATATACGTAATAAAAACATAGCCATCAGAACAATAGAAGAACATATCATTGAATCTCAGTCTGCTCGAAGGTAAGGTAGAGTGTTGATATTTTCTTACCATTCCTTTTGGACGCCCAAGTTTTTTACCAACGCCCAAGTAATGTACTTTTTTAATCGAACATTCTTCGCAAAACACATGTTTACTAATACTAATTTATATATACAGCGGTGTCCTTGTAAATGTATTGTGATATACTCATGTACAGGTGTGTTAACGTTTCTTCTTCTGAAGAAAAGCTGTAACACCCAACCGCTTGAAACGACTTGATCAGTTTGCTTCGAGAATCGTGTGCAGTAAAATTTAGGAGCAGCGGAGCGGAGGAAAAGGAAAAAGAATCGAACACCAAAATAATTCGATTAAGGAACATTCGAACACGTGTCAACCCTCAAAGTCGCGGACAGACATCACACAGGCACGACAATGGACTGAGTCACACGGCACGCGCAGTTGCGCTCGCAAGACCAACAAAGAAACAGAAGACCGCGAGCAGTTAAGCTATCACTCATAGTCAAAAGCGCTTTATTACGAAACCCAAAGCTGAAAAAGCGGCGTCCGATACAAGAACGGCCAGGCGCCGTGACAGACAGACAGGCAGCCAGCCGTTCCCGCCGACTGAATTCGATCGAAAGGCTCTTGTGCGAAGCGGTCGAGTCATTCGCATCCCACAAAGCGCCTCAGGTGCAGAGGAGCGCTACGCCTCCTCCCGAGCAAACAACTTGCATCATCCCAAAACAAGAGACAAATTAAGGGGGGGGGGTAGTCTTCGCCAAGGCCGTCTTATCAGGTATTTTGCTATTGAGCGCCTATTCCGCAGAGCCTTGTCCTCAGAGTAAACATGGCAGCACCGTCCCACTAGCGGACAAGCGAGTAAACAATAAAAAAGGAGATTACAAGAGGCATTCAAATGCTAAGAGGCAGTACTAGTAGCCGCAGACAAGGATGGAACACAGCTCATCACGAACAGAGGAAAGAAACGGTCGTAACTGTGGAATTTCAAAAAACAAAACAAAAAGATGCATAATGGACTGCCAAAAAAACATGGAAAGTGTAAGAATAATTACTCGTCAAAGAATTTAGGAATAAAAGATAAAATATACTTTACGGAGATGATCGGGCAACCCGAATGAAAAGAATGTGGAGACGCAATTGAACAAAATAACCATAGAAGAATCCAACGCAATAGCACTCGATCTGGCAGGGACGAGGGTTGAAGAGGATGTGACGCTCTCTTTAGAGTTCGGAAAGCGGCGACCTGCCCGACGCCACCCTGATTGGCTGATATTCGACGCTAGATGAAGCTCGGTCGAATTCAGAGCCATGAGAATTCTAGTGGCCGGTTGCCCTGATCAGTAGTTTTTCGTGGTTCCTCCGACCAAGACCAGGCCAGTGCCGGAGCAGTACCCTACAGAACGGGCCACAGAGCGCGGGCGACATCTTTCCTTCCTCTTCCTTGTCCTATCCTCGTTTCTTACTAACACACTAAACTAACACTGAGAACAGCCGGGAGCTTAAGAGCTTATCCCGTCTCAGGCGGTGTCCTGAAGAAGGAAGTCCACATGGCGACGTTGTTGGTGCCGAATCTCACTATCCAGAACGGGAGGAACACCGCCACTTCCCGTGAAAAAAACACTAACTACTCTAACGGGATTAATGACTATCGCTGTTGACGTGCCCGCAACCATCAGTCGACGGACGGCACGGCATCGCCTCGCATATGAGGCGGAATGGAAGGCATTGTGAAGCGCCCGCTTAATTATAACATTCCATACGGTGCACGCTGACCCGTGGCCCTGCACGGGCTGAGGCGCGGCACCGTTACGAACAACTCCACAGCCGCCGCCGCCGCTCGTCACACGCCCTCAACCCCGCCCCCGCCCTCGCCCCGTCCTCCTTTCGGACGCAGCGCAAATCGCCTCTCGGCACACGACTTTCTCGACGACGCAACGCTATTTGTACCAGCCGGCTGCGTTTGTTGTTCTGCCGGCAGGCGGTCCCCAGTGATACGGCGAGGTGCCGTGACTCTTGGCAAGTTCATGCGCAGGTCACCAACTCTCTTGATGTGAAGGTACGCGTAATGGGTGGGTTATTTCGGCTCACATTTTTTTTTAAATCTCAAATGACAAAGTGAGTACAGGCAATTTATTTTGTACTAAAATACGAGATCATATGCAGCAGGATCCTAGGTAATTGCAATATAAATTTTAATGTAAGCGCGTTTCCAGACAAACTAATATTTTAAAATACAATTAATAACGTAAATGACAAAAGAAAGCGTGATTCATCATTTTTAAGGAAAAGGCGAAGTCACAACAGGTTCAGATCCGTTTTATGATAAACCACAACTCTTCAAGAATTACCCACCATCATCACGCAGCAAAAAATACAAAACCCAACAACTAGGAACCGCCGCTGGACAGCGCAGCCTCTGATGGACAACTATAGCGGAAAGACATGTTTCTCTTTCTGGCGGGGGCAGGGGGGCCGGGGTAGGGGGCGGGAACGACATTCTCGGAACCGCAGCGACAAACGAGTGCGAAAGGCAGCTGACAGGTAGAGGAAGCAACGACAGCGCAAAGAGAAGCGATAAAGCAACAGCATACGAGGAACTGATACATTGGACAAAGAAGGTAATTTAATAATGAATAGGCGTCACAGTGGCGTGGACAGCGATTGTGTGAGTGGGAAATGGATGAAGGCGGTGGAGTCGGAGGCTGTGACGGAGCGGGCATCAGCTGTGACAGAGCCTTCGCGTCGAAGAGAGAAGCAACGGAGCGGAGCATAAGCTTGGGGCGGCGCAGCAGAATGCAATGTGCCGACGATGCACTTTGTTGGCGTCAGGGGCGCGCGCAGCTGCGGCGTGGGAAGGCACCTTCAACAGGGTGGCCGCTCGTTTCCTGGAACTGCTTTCCCCGATTTTACCAAGTTTTCCCGGACATTCTTCATTTATTACTTGCAATATTCAATACAGAGCAATGAAATTCCACGATTTTTCTTAGTCTTCCCTGACAGTGGCCACCCTGTTTAAGAAGACGTCTTTAGAAGTTACCTTTTGGCGAACGATTCCGCAGTTCCAGCGAAAGCGTGTAAGCGCAGTATCACTTTTTGCGGTCGCAGAAGCCACACTGCTCATGCGCGGGTACGCTCACACTCCGAAATCGTTCGTCAATGAAGAACGTCTAAACCGAATCGAATGGTTTCATTTTCTGCAAGTTCCTTATCCATTCATTATATCTTGCACCAAATTGAAACAGCAAATGTTCTATTTCAGCCTCTCGTGCAATTCCCTATTTTTGCTGACAAGTGACAATTGCTGACATTCCTTGTAATTGTTCTCGTACTGTGTAATTCCTTCTTATTGCCGTCCCTCCCAGCTGGAGTTCCAATATTCAGAAATATCACTTGAAACAGTACACAGAAAGACGCCCAGCTGACGGTTCCTATTAAATGCAATCGTTTAGAGAATATAGGCAACCGGCGTCACAGATGGATGGCTTGGCGTGGTTTAGCGAAAACGATACGTCGGCTCAATACGTCTTTTGAAGACCGTCAACAATGTGAATAACGTTAATTTTTACATGCTATGGAATTAATTATAAAATTATAAAATTTCTTATAATTAATTATAAAATTAATTATAAAATTTCTCCTGTCTAAAACGGCGTATGTCTTTGGCCATTTTGGCCCATGTTCTTTGAGAAAAATAAAAAGAAAAAAATAATTAAAAACATAAAAAATAAAATACTATAAACAAAAATAAGATATATAAAAATAAAATAAAATAAGAAGAAAAAGACAGTATTCAATTGCAT